TGCACTTAAGCATGCTAGCATGCAGGTAAACATAGTGGCTTGCTTCTTTGCTGATGAGCCAGCAACTAGTGCGTGTCCTTCTGAGACTATCTGCATAAAATGCACGGATATTTTGCTAAGATGCAAATCTTTTATCTGTGGTCTGCACACATACACACTTCATACACACAGAGAGAGCCCATAAACAATGCACAAAAGCATCTTTAATTACTCAAACTACTTCATGCAAAAGAACATTCATGGCTTGATATTAATGGCATTCAGTTGGCAGGTTCATTTTTTCACTCCAGAATGGAATGCTGTCTTTGTTCTCTTGGATTAAGATCTGGAGGTGAGGAAGACAATGAACCTGATGTGAAGGGAATGCACTCCTCCTATATAGCCAGTCCCCTCAGTGTGGTCATCAAAAGATCATTACCAGAAACAATGGCCACACAAACAGAACAGACTTGTTCATAGACTAAAAATGAGCAGGGAGAAACAGCATGCGCAGTAAACATCAAAACTGCCATTAAAAACAATGTGTAATTCTCACGTCTTGAATTAAAAAAAAAAGTTAACTTAGCTATATTTTTGCTACTAGCATTTGCAAGGGGAAAAAAATCAGACCGTTGCATTGTCTCAAAAGAAAATGTACTTATTTGTATTAACCTAGGGACTACTATTTACCTTATTATTAGTCTTAATTGACAAAATAATCCCTTCCCTCACTTCTACAGAATGCTTAAGAGGTGCATCTGAATGACTACGGGATATTTTTTTCTGTAACAGCTTAACTGCCTGCCTGGATATTGCTTGTAAGGTTATGCACACAGCCACTGGTGTTGTGACAGTCATAAGCAATTATGGCTATAAGAAAGTTTGGCAAAAGTACACCCTCCCCCCCGCCCGCCCCCAGCCAGGGGCCCTTGTTTTATTATTTACATACCCTTGAGTCCCCCGTATGACATTCTATGGCGAAGCCTTTTGACTCTTAATGGGGAACCCATGGATCCACTAACATTTTGCCTACTCAGCTGTTTAAGCTTAAAATGCTAGATTGGATCATAGCTGCATTTTACTGTATCCTAATTGCTTGGCCACAATCGTGATAAATACAGAATGACATAGCAACACACTGAGTCCATGAATTACATTTAAAAAAACCCTGAAAAAGGGAGGATAGCATAATATTTAGAAAGAAAGGTGCTGATTAATCACAGAAGGCTTCTTCTTCTTCTTCTTTTTTTTTTTGCTGACTTCCTTAGTTAAAGAACTGTAGCTTACCTGAATTATGTAGATAAGGTAATTCTGGTAAACGCTTGCTTTAGTTTGGTAAAAAACCGGATGGCTACTTCATAACCACCAAAGAAACTCTCCTATTGAACTTAAATACATTCAATATCAAATTTGAATCAATATTGCACATACATGGCCTGATTTTGTAGCACTGAAGCTAATAGATACAGATTTTTCCCTAAAAAGTCTACACTGAAAATAGAAGTTATTTATGCATTCCTGGAAATAATTCTTTCATATTTTGTATGTAAAAATTAAAATAAAAATACTAGTTTTTCATCTTATGTATATGTATTAACTCAAAATTAAACAATCTTTATAAAATTATAAAAAGAAAATGCCTCATTTAACATATTACTAAATGAGACTTTTCAACTATTAGAATCACTTTTCATTAATCATGCACTAAAAAAAAACAAACCAAAATCAAATGTAGCACACATACTCGCAGAGTTAAGCAAAAGTATTATATCTCAGCCAGGGTTGGTTAGTCTTTTTTTACCCACAATATAGAATACTTCAAAAATACTGTCTAACCATCCATAATATACAGTCTCACTGACTTAGTAGAGGCACAATTCTTGTACACTGTTGACAACAGCCCTGAATCACAAGTTATACAGAGAAACATAAGTAAGCATTACAACACAAACAGATAAACAACCAGACAATATATTTGACACTGCATAGAAAAAACACAGTCCAGGTCAGCAGTGAAACAATGGAAAAATTGCACAAACAACTGGTATTGTTGATTTCTTTCTTTTTTTCTTTTGGCTTTAACCCCTGTTTTAAATTTCAAAAATTTAAGTCGCCTGGACTTGTTTTGGTCCTACTGCAATGCCATTACAGTCGAGAATGTATTGTAAACAACCTTGAGGAGGTGGTCGCTGGGATGGGACTTTATTTGATTCTGGCTCCTTAGCCGACCCACTCTGCAAAAGAGAAAAAGGACACAGATGAGAGCGTAAGAGGGCTAGAAGCTGGGGTACGTGTGGGGGTAGACTGGGAAATATTCCTTTGGCTGTTAGAACTGGCCTCTTCTTACCAGGACAAACCTTCCCTGAGGGCCAGAGTAGAAAGGACTCTTGGTGTATCATTAGGAAGCACAGTGATAGGAGAGGCAAAAAAGCAGAGATTTCACTGGAACTGCAGCACACAGAAAGGGGGGAATTATCCTTTCCTCCCCTGTAGTGGTCATGAAGGAAAGAGCTACACTATTGCTACCCTGCACCCGCCCCCCCCCCAGCTCTTATTGTCCCAAACGGGACCTTTTTCTCCTAGGGCAAATGGGAGTTCTGTCATCTGCTCCTTTCTCAACAAATGGAAACCAGGCATCATTACAAGTGAGAGAAGAGGGAGACAACAAGGGCAGAAGTGGACAAGCTGTTGCACTGAGAAATTTAAATATCTGTTTCCGGGTAAGAACATCCAGCAAACAATATTTTTAACGTATTTTGTAAATGTCCCATTAAAAAGGCACAGTAACTTCAATACATTTATATCCTATAAAATATGAAATGTAGAAATGTAGAAAAGAGACCGATTATTCTCACTTCCAGAAGCATCTCTACAGAAACTGAGTGTTTTGTAATTGGTGGGGAACAGAAGGTTGATGATGTAGCCCTCAGACCAATACAAATCAGTAAGGGTCCGCCATATTTGTAAACAGTACTCTAGCACAGAGCAACTGGAACAGTAAGCAGCAGTGTGGAAAATCTACTACTTTTGTCTGGTGAATGTTACCACTGTGTACCACTGATCTTGGAAGGAGAGCTTGGTCTTTGTTGCTACATCTCCATTCATGGATAATGTCTGGGCTTGACATTATCACTTAGTTTAAACAAACAGAAGTTTTTTTCCAATTTAAAAAAAACTCGTAATTTGTCGGATATGGAGATTCTGAATTTGCCAGAAAGATGATAACTGAAAGTCTAATTATATTCCACAAAGTATCCTGAACTGTGATTAAAAAGCAATGTTTAAAATCCGTACCAAACCAACAGATCTATGGCCTATGCTTAATATAGTCCATTTCAAAGGAAATGCCTTTGCCTTAAATTAGGCTTCCCAGTATGACTGCTCATGTTTCCTGTTCACTTCATTTCCTCAAATATATCTTTGTTTAAGCATTTTGAAATTTTAATAACCCTTGCACACTTTCCTACGGATGCACTTGTTGCTCACTAAACAGTACCTGCATTTCTCTGCTTGTATCAGTATTGTTTTATCACATCTCCATCAAAATATGCACATGTTTCAGGCTCATCACATGGCCATGTCCCCTCCTTGCTGTCAAGACATATGGTGACTCAAAAGAGATGAATTGGAGTGACATGTTCTAATGACAGTAGCTCTTATTCAAGGAGAGAAAATATCATTTTTCTTACATGAATGGGTCTTTAAAACCAAGTCACCAAGCCTTAAATACTAACGGCATTTTAAAAACGATATTTCACTAATTTGAAATGTGTGCTATAGCTCATCTGAGACTTCTAAGGAAATTTAATGCTCTCATTAAGACCACAAATTTATCATATGTTACAATGACATACAAGTCAGCTGTGAAGTGCGCAAATGGTGATGATGCGCCCATGGGACACTGCAATGGTCATAAGTGCCCACTGGTTGTGAAGCACCCAAATTTCGATTACATGAATGCAGGGATGCTGTGACAAAAGTGCAAGGACTGGTTGTAAAGTTACTTTTTCAGCACTGTTGTAACTTCAAGCAGTCGCTAAACAGGGCAGTCGTTAAGCGAGGACTACCTGTACTTGGATCCTATGGATATACAGAGTTCTAAGGGTTCAAAAAGGAGCACCTTTGGAATACAGAATTTATAAAATAGGACAAAACCTTTCTACTTTCTTGCTGATTAGTTACAAATCGCATAATAGAAGGTTCTGCCATCTATTAGGAATATGGGATGGCCAAAATACCTCTGGGTAAAAGTTCTTGTAGTGAAGCTTTTATTCAGCTTCCAGGATAGGTGGTATTGTGGTTCTGAACTATGGCTCTGAGCCACAGATCTTCAAAGCACATCCTGACATAAAAAATAAAGATGGACTCAAAAGTTTTCAAGACTATCTAATCAGGGATTAAATACAATAAACCACATCCCTGCTAGAACTGAGTGCCCCAAACATTCTTGAGATTTTTTTTTTGCGTTACATGGAAGATCCAGCAGTTGCCCCAAATACCCCGAGGAACTTGCATAAAAAGGTTAGCATATTTTATCCTTAAACGATGTTATACCTGCTCAGCATGTTTTGAGACCTTCTGAATGCTGTGCCTGCATGCCCAGACTGACATGAGCAAGATTATCCTTCAATGTTGCTCTAGAGAATAACTCATAAAATTGAACTAAATCAGTCTGAGAGGGCAAATGATTATTTATTACATTTAAATGCAGCCAACCTGTTGATAATTATTCATTTGGTATCCACTCTTGATATCTGCAGAACATATGATAATTCTGCTCATTCTACCCCTTAAGTACCAAGAGCTGTAATCCTGTGCTCAAAATCAACCATACCAGGATAATTACAGCAACTGGAGCTGCCCATATACTGTGCTGGAGAATTGCCTAATAGCCTGAAGCTAAGCCAACACTCATAAGATTTTGCTGAAGGCCTCTCCACCAGGCCAACAGTGAGGCTACTGAGCATACAGAATTTGCTACTACGCTGCAGAACATTCCATAGGACTGAAGGAGACCAATACAAAACATGCTTCCCAAACACTATAAATTATCTGTAAAAGGAAGGGACTGCTTGCAATCAAGATAGAGCCACCCAGCACTGCTTCACTGGACGACACTAGGATTGAGTTTCAGTGAGAATAGTACCCAATATGCTCCTTATTCACTACAGAATGTTAGCACATTGGAAAGAATGGAGAGAATTCTTTGGGTGGAGCTTAATAGGATTACAACTGCACAAGTGTGAATTCTTAGGCAAAAAGAACTTTCTATACTTTCTTCAGCTTTCTACAGCCAGGTTTGGGTATTTTAGGAACTTGAAATTACAAATAAAACTATTTAATTGCCTCTCTTCCATTTGGAAGAGTACAGCATCTTAAAGAAACTAACTTGGCTACTGGCTACTGGCATCCCTAGCTACCATGAATTTGTCAAGGTCCTTTTCTTTCTTAATTGTTGACCTATCATGGGTAAACTTCCACTTCCAAACTTCCTTTGCAACCTTTCTTGACTTTTTACTTTTCATCTTTGAATATAGGTACTGCTACTAAGGCTATGTATTTGTCTTCTAGTTTTCTGTATTCCTCAGATAGTTCTCCTTAGAAGACTTGCTTTGTTTTTGAGATAGAGGAAATTCAAAGGGAGCTTCTGGTACTGAGCACGCAGATTATGTTACAGTAGGAGGGGGCAAATCTGAAGTTCCAGAATCAAATGAGGCTCTCAAACTTTCTTTTAGTATTCCCCAATGCCTCTCTGAACATAAATGCTGAAAATCTGCAGCATGGCTTACTGCAATTTTGAGGCAGAAAACATGAGAAAAAAAACGCTCCTAAAGGTATAGGACTTAAAGTAGGTTTAACTTAGTTAAAAAACTAAGACATCCCCTGCAAAGTTTATCCAAACAAACTCAGAGAAAAAACCAATAGTTCTAGCCTTGCCTACATATGTCACATGGGCCTATGCATTTTTCACTATTCATTACTTCATTAATGCAGTTTAATTACTACATTACAGCAGCCCTCACTCTTTCCACAAAGATGTTCAGTGTAGCCCCAGCAATCTTAACCATCCCTGGTAAGAGAAGCTTTTACCTTTAAACATTTCTCAGGTCTGCAGAGATCATACATAATTAATTATGTATCAGTTGAAATGCATATCTTTGAGATGATCATTGTTCTATAATTTCATATATAAACTGAGAGGAGCTAAACATCGTGAAAAGGTGCTTTTATATAATGTAAAATTCAGCAGTAGCCAACATTGAAGTACTGCTAAATAACAATATCTCCATCTGCTGGTACAGAAACCAACAGACATTGACTTGGAAAATGCCACATGTTAGTGTTCAACAATAGTTTCTCCCTGTATTCTCCGACAGTGTAATTTTTCCAATGTATTTTGGCTTCTACTGATACATTTTTATCAAATACAAAAATCTCCAGCTTTAAGTATAAAGCTGGGATCCACAATATGAAGCCTAAGGGCACTAGTGTGCCCACAAAAGTTTTTCTTGGTGCTCTCATGGTTCACTGGTCACCTGACATTTTGTTTTGGAACTGATCACACCACCTTAGCAGCCGTTTTTGAGTAGACAGACTCTCCTAGAGCAGCTAATAGTGTTCAAGACTTGCTGCCAAATTCCAAACTGGCACACATTTCTATTTTATTTATATGGTGCCCATTCCTGAAGGTTCCTTTCATTTTGGCTGCAAGCTTGGGGGACTCCTGATATCAACTCTCTGAATTTTCCACCCAGCAAGAGATCTGTGTATCTTCCCCATGCAAATTCCTTCTTTCTTCTGTCCAGCAAGCTTTGGGAGAATACTTGTTCAACCTAATACCAGTTCTATACCTGATAGGATCCTATCAGACATCTGCAAACCATTCCCACATTCCATCTAAGACGATATATATACAGATATGACTTAAATACCATACCGTCTCTTTCTGGATATTCTATGAGAAGAGTTCTTAGAAACTCAAAGGCTTACAAACATTTGATAAACCTTCAGCTCACCTAACACAAGTATTGATTTAATGTGGATTTTTATTATTATTTTTTCTCATAGTCAGTACAGCTTTTGCTTTTGAGAGGAAGGAGGATAATTGTGTCTGCATATTCTGCTGCATCTGTGATCTTCACTTATACTTTAGTGATGTCTCCCTGTGTTCGGGAACTAACTGTTTTAATGCTGTTATCATCTCCAACCAAGCAGTTCTCTGTAAGGATGAGAC